TTGTGATAAACTGTGGTCAATGACATGAGACAAAGTATATGTGAACTGCTGTATGGAAAGTGAATTTGCTCTGTAAATCTTCACCCAAATCACAATAAATAATAATAAAAAACATGTATCACTGACAGATTTCATAAAGAACTACTACTAAAATAAGAAAAAGATAGATGACCCAATAGAAAAATGGGTAACCCCTAGTCATCCTTCAGGTCTGGAATTGAACTCACTCTCGTGGTTTCCAGCCAAAAAATAGACAGGCGTATAGCATGAACATTTACACCAGGTAGATACACTCCTTAGCACGATCAACCATGGGAGAACAGAAGGGCAGTATTTGCACAGGGTGATAGCTCAGGGGTCAGGAATGCATAGGAAGGAAGGACACAGGAAAGAGGTAACTACATGGAGGAAGTAGGAAGACAGTGCACATACAAATTGGGGAAGATGGATACCTTCCATCTGACACAGTGGGTAACTGCAGTCAACCTCATGAAACAAAATGTGTATGAACTGCTGTATGGAAAATGAATTTGCTCTGTGAACTTTCATCCAAATCACAAATAAATAAATAAAAAGATGTGAGGGTGTAAAAGACTTGATAGGGACATCTTAGAAAGTGTTAACCAGGGAGCCAATAAGCACACCAAAAAGTATTTGACTTAAGTACTCATCAAATGCAACGCAATGCAACGTACTGCTGTCGAGTCAGATCAGACTCATAGCGACCCCTCCTTGGGTTTCCAAGGCGGTATCACTATGAAGTAGATTGCCCAACCTTCCTTCTGAGGAGCAGCTGGCTGGTGGGTTTGAACCACCAGCCTTCTGGTTAGTAGTCAAATGCCTTAGGCACTACACCACCAGAGCTCCTAAATATTCATCAGGGAAATGCAAATGAAAACTACAATGTGATACCAAAACACTCACCAGAATGGCTAATAGCAAAAAGACAACAAAAATCCAAGGATAAGCAAAGATGTGGAGCAAGCCAAAACATACATTGCTGGTAGGAATGTTATTGTTGTTAGGTGTGCTGTCAAGTCGATTTTTGACTCACAGTGACCCAATGTGACAGAGAAGTAGCCCATATGGTTTTCTAGGCTGTAATCATTATGAGATGGACTGACACAGTGGCTGCAACAATGGGCTCAAGCACAAGCAACAACTGTGAGGATGGCACAGGACCGGGCAGTGTTTCCTTATGTTGTACACAGGGTCGGTATGAGTTGGAACTGACTCAACAGCAACTAACAACAAAAACAATCTTTATGGGAGCAGATCACCAGGTCTTTTTCCTGTGGAGCTGCTGGGTGGGTTCTAATCACCAGAGTTTTAGTTAGCAGCCAAGCACTTAACTGTTGCACTATTGGGGCTCTTTGCTAGTGGGAGTATCTCTCTGGAAAACTGGTTTTGCCATAAGTACTGAAACTAAACAAAGCCATTACCTAGGATCCAAAACTTTTGCTCCTACTCAACAGGAAAGGACAAACATATGCACTCAAAGAAGGCCTATCTCAGTGCAGTGTAGTAAATTACTTAGTGTGGCTTTTCTACCCATAAGTCTTTGTAAACTCCAAGGTGGGATTTTCTATGAGCAACTGAGGAGCTCCTGATTGCTGAAGTTGTTCACCTGGAGTATTTCTGTTGGGAGTGGCACAAAACAATGTTCTGGGAGGTGCCCACTCTCCCTCAAGATGCTATGATTGGCTAGTTTGACCACCCTGCCGGGCTCAAAAGAAGGCCTCCTAGAGGCAGAACTCTCTCTGACTGCTGGTTGAGGAAGACGTGCTGCCGAAAGAGACATGCGCCCCTGAAAGAGACACGTGCTGCTGGGAAAGAGACGAAAGAGACATACATTACTGAGTGAGACACCGAAGGACCAGCACCGCTGGGAAAGAGACTGTGAGAGACTGTTGGCTGAGGGACAGTGGGCTGGGAGAGAGGCTGAGCATTTTTCCTGAACTCGAATTGTAGCCTATGGTGCTTCTCAAATAAACCCCATAATCTGTGAGCTCTGTGTGGCCACTGCAGCGAATTATCGAACCCAGGAGAGAGGTGGTGGGTGCTTTGGGAAGAACGGCTGGAAAAAGGGCTGGAGGGAGGCAGCATGTCTGGCCTCACAGGAATAGGCCTTGAGCTATTGATGGTGATTCTGCCTTCCTCTTGTGGGGTTCTAGGAGGTCAGAATATGCGGCCTCCTTGCCCTTTTTTGCAGTCAGGCCTAAAACTGGAAACTACCCAGATGTCCATCAACAGTAAAATGGATACATAAACTGCTGCATATTCACACAATACAACACCACACATCAAAAAGCAAACCATAACTTTAAGCACAATACAGAAGTCTCAAAACATAATACTCAGTGAATGGGATAGACAAAAGAGAACATATTGTATGATTCCACTCCTATGAAGTATAAAACTAATCTATTGAGTTAGAAGGAACTCTGGTGGTGTAGTGCCTAAGGCATCTGATTGCTAACCAGAAGGCTGGCAGTTCAAACCCACCAGGCACTCCTTGGAAGGAAGGTTGGGCAATCTACTTCCATAGTGATACTGCCTTGGAAACTCAAGGAGGGGTCACTATGAGGCAGATCCAACTCTACGGCAGTGGGTTATTGAGTTGGAAGTTAGAACAACGATTCTCCTCTGTTGAAGTAGTGACTACATGGGGATGAGAGAACAGTAGAGAAGAGGGAAGTTCTGGTATGCTGGAAAAGACAACTGACCCATAAAGTCAATTCACTTCAGCCTGGGCTGGAGGAACCAGGAAGGAAAAGGATACATCCAGATCATGTAATGGAAACCATGTTGGTGCCTTTCCCAGTTTCTCTAACAAAAATCCCCTATGATTTAGCTCTGCTGGTCATCCTTACACAAGACAGCATCCAGAGCTGGTAAGCTTCAGCCAGAAAATGTCCACAAAGGCCCCCGAGTCCTGCTGGGATCTGCCCTGGCTGGAGCCTCCCCGTCAGGAGCCTTTTAGGTCATTCATTCACCCTCTCAAACCAGCAAATGTCCTATATAAACAAGTCAGGTAGCAAGTTTGATATGCTGGTGTGTTAAAACACATACACACAAATTGTGTCTCCCAATTTCTAAGCCTCTGGCCATGTATGGCTAGGTAGAAGGGTCAGAAGCCTTCAGATGGTCTCTACACCTTCTACAGGACTGACTGCAAAAGGTCTCTCTAAGTACCAGGGGGGCCCAATGCCTCACAGAGCATACCCTCCTTTCAAGGAGTTCTTAGTCTGGGGCTGAGATGTGTGACAGGTACCCTCCCCAACCTGAGCAGCTGGGTTTTACCATCCTGATATACAGAGTTTGCCCAACACCTCACTGACAAATCAAATAGCCTAGTCTAGCTCCCAATCTCTCTTCTGCCCTGGTGCCCTTGTAAACCAGGTAGCTGGCAGGCAGGGACTCAGTTTTGAGGCTCAAGGCACAATAGATGGTAAATTCCTCTCCTGCTCCAATTGAGCCCAAGCAGAGGCTGCTGCTACTGCTGGAACCTGGCACACAAGCCCCACCATGCGAGCCCCTGCAGTGGCCGTGAGCACCAGCCCACACTCCAACTAGTCTCTGATAGGCATGGGGGACTCTACAATCTTCATTCCTGCCAAATATTCCATCCTGCAATTTCTGCCCTAATTTGTGTGTGTGTGTGTGTGATTTGGGTGAAGATTTACAGAGCAAATTCACTTTCCATACAGCAGTTTACATATACTTTGTCTCATGACATTGACCACAGTTTACCACAATGCAACAACTCCCCTCCCACTTCCTCCCCATAGTTATCTCTTCCCTGTGTCCATCCCGCCATGGACTCCTGCCCCCTGAACTGTCTCCCTGTGCATAAGCAGCCCTTCTTTCTCCCATGATTGTTCTCTCCAAAGAGAGTATCTACTTGAGGTACATGTTCAACTCATATGCCTGTCTTTTATTTGGCTGGAAACCACAGGTATGGGTTCAATTCCAGACCTGAAGGGCACTTAGGGGCCATAGTCTCAGTGGTTCCACCAACTGCCCTAAATTTTTAAAATTTTATTTTTGTTTGTCTTGTTTTAAATTATACAGGTAGTCTAAATCCACCATAGTGAAACTCTAAAATACAGATAAATGTTTAATTACCCAATAACTGAGAAGCAAGCACAATGGCCATTTGGGGGTACACATGTTTTTCCAGACATATTAAATATAAGAATGAACAAAAACAGAACAAACAAAATCAAGATGAGAGGACTTCATCAAGTGAATGTTTTTCCATATTAATAAACGTCTAACTGTGCCACTGTGTGGATTTCAATCACTTGTTGGGACATTCGGTTGTTTCCAGTTTCTCATCATTACAAAGAAGCCAGGAGGAACATCCTAGAATCAAAGTTTTTGCTCATTTATCCAATTATTTCCTTAGGATACATCCCTAGAAGTTCCTACTTCTCATTTTCTAATACTCCAGGGTCCTCATGACTACCTTAAGTAAGTTCTTTTATGGAATGATCACGCCCCCCAACAGATTTATTTTCAAATGTTCCAAACTCTCCTCTTTTTGACCATTCACATGTGTAATCAAGAAACTGGTGAACACTTACTATGTGACAGACACTAACTGGTGCTGTGGATACAGCAGAGGTCAAAACAGGCAAAGCTCTTGCCCCATGGAGACCCATCCAGTCATAGTATTTGGGCAGATGCCTGTAGTTCATTCCTACTCTTTTTGCTTCTCTGTAGTTTTAACATATTTTTCAACATGGTACATAATTACTAATGAAAATAAAACTAAACCCATTGCCGCCAAGTTGCTTCTGACTCATACTGACCCTATAGCACACAGCAGAACTGACTTATGGGATTTCTAAGGCTGTAATCTATATGCAAGCAGACTGCCACATCTTTTTCCTGTGCAGCAGCTAATGAACTCAAATAGCCAAACCCTTGGTTAGCAGCTGAGCACTTAACCACTGTGCCACCAGGGCTCCTTCTTATGAAAATAACAATATGTAAAGCAAGTATAGAAATACAAACATGTATTTAGTTTTAACTAATGAAATCTCTCTTTTCTGGAGCTTAACATTACATACCACCATTTACAATGCTAAAGTCCCTAGCTACCTTCACCTTACAAGCTATGTAGAAATCTCTCCAGCTCTGCACAGGTTGTCCACAGGCCCACAGGCCTGCTTCCAGGAAGACTTACCTTGTATTGAAGAGAGCAGCCTTTACAGCAATGGAGATGGCATCAAACAAATTTCCACCACATTCCAAAAGCTGAGGGAGATGGTGATGGAGGAAAGAGGAAAAAACAGACATCATTTATTGCTGTAAGTATTATCCAAGTCCAAGGAGAGGGATCCCTAAGCAATGCTGATTGAGTATGTGTTTATAAAATAAAGGCAAGGCAGCACAGCTTCTCTCCTGAATTGTCCTGCAGTGAACACATCTCACTGATGCTCCCAGTACCCTTTGATGACACACAGCACCTTTTTTTTTTTTTTAATTGTGATTTGGGTGAAAATTTACAGAGCTAATTCACTTTCCATACAGCAGTTCACATACACTCCATCTCATGACAACGACCACAATACAACAGCTGCCCTCCCATTTCCTCCCAACAGCCACCTCTTCCCTGTGTCCATCCCTCCATATACTCCTGCCCCCTGAGCTGTCTCCCTGTGCATAAGCAGCCCTTCTTTCTCAATGACTGTTCTCTCCAAGGAGTGTATCTACCTCAGGTAAATGTTCAACTCATATGCCTGTCTTTTGTTTGGCTGAAACCCACAGGTGTGGGCTCAATTTCAGACCCGAAGGGCAGCTAGGGGCCATAGTCTTTGGTTCCACCAGGCTCTAT